CACCGCGTGGGTGGCTCCCCAGGCTGTTGCGCCAGGACCACCTGCCTCCTGGAGGGTCCTGCGGGCCGGGTCCCCGAGCAGGCGTGGCTGGACAGGTCGATTCGGAGGCACCTTCACTGTCACGGACGGTCCCGGTATGTAGCCGTGGACACTGCAGGGCTGGAGCCTGTCCTCACTCCAGCCGTGCCCGTGGCCGTCTGTGCTGCCTGTTCCCCGGGGTCAGCACCAGGGGAAGGTGGTGAGTCTGAGCTTGTAGGAAGGCCCTTCCCCGCCTGGGCAGCCGGGGCCTGGGGGAAGGGAGGTGGGAGCCGGCCTGAGGGAGAGGCGGAGAGTGGGGACCCGCTAGGCCCAGGCTGGGGGGCCAGGAGAGCCGGTGTTTTCAGAAACTAGAGGTGCACTGGGCGGTAGCGGGGGAGGTGCGGGGAGGCAGGGGCCCTGGGGGCTCCGAGGTCACCCGGTCAGGCTCTGACGGAAGGGGCGAGAGGAGGAGCCCAGACCGGACCTGTCCCGGGAGGACACACCTGTAGGGACAGGCCAGGCGGCCTCAGGGGGGCGGGAGGTAAACCTGAAGCCCGTTTTCCATGATCTCTGGTTGTCAAACCCAAGTCGATGGAGAAGTGGATGGGTTGTGAGCAGCAGAACGGCAGTGGGCCATGAGGGCGAACTTCTGTGTTCTGTTGCTGCAGAGCACGGAGCTGGCCTGTGAGGAGGTGAACCTGCCCACAGTACTTCCCACCAGCACCCGGCCGTGGGCCGCAGGAGGGAGTGGGTCCTGAAACCGCCCGAAAACTTCCCGGCCCTTGGTTAAGTCGCTCTGATGTGCTTGGTTTAGGGGTGTTTTCACGGTTAGAAGGAGGACCTGCTTTTCCTCCATCATGGGGAATGGGGGGCACCAGCACCTATGCACCAGCCCTGGCTCAGTCCCTGGACGCACAGCGCCTTCTGGTGGTCGCGCAGAGCGGCCCACTGTGGACGGCGGCTGCAGGGGCCTGACCCCTGGTGAGCCTGCACAGTCGGTCCACGGCCTGTGCTGGGAATGTGGTCCCGCCTCGTCTGGGATCTGGAGGCGAAAGGCTAGATCCAGCGTAAGTACCTGGGATCTGACCTGGGATGACCTCCGAGAGGGGGAGGGGGCCTCTGTCTTCCATGTGACTTTCTTTCTCACATGTGACCAGGGAGCGTGCTCTGGCTGTGCCAGTGCCTTCAAACAGGCGTGAGCGTGAAGTCATGTGGACCTGGAGCCGTGTGTGTCCCCGCCTCAGTGCAGCCGATGTAAAGGCCATTGTCTTTCCTTCCAGGCTGAAGGCGGACACATGACCCCAGCGACCTCGGCCCTGGCCCTTTGTCGTGGACAAGACGCCGCGTGGGGCCCCGCAGCCCTGTGCTGACCGCGCTCGCCGTGACCCAGGACTCGGGACAATGAGTCTCGCGGACGACCAAGGGCCATCGGAGAGCATATTTGACCTGGACTACGCCTCCTGGCGGATCCGCGCCACGCTGGTGGCCGCCGGCTTTGCCTTCTACCTGGGCGTCTTCGTGGTGTGCCACCAGCTGTCATCCTCCCTGAACGCCACGTACCACTCCCTGGTGGCCAAGGAGAAGGTCTTCTGGAACCTGGCAGCCACGCGGGCCGTGTTTGGCGTGCAGAGCACGGCCGCGGGTCTGTGGACGCTGCTGGTGGACCCGGTGCTGGCGGCCGACAAGGCGCACGCCCAGCAGAGCTGGTCCTGGTTCCACGTGGCCACGGCCACCGGCTTCTTCCTCTTCGAGAACGTGGCCCTGCA